CAGCACTGTATATATGTGGGAGAGCCAGGATTCGGCAGGAATGGGCTGGCTCGACCGGAGTGGCCTCGCAGAATACCGGCGTGAAGCAGCATTTATACGTTGTGTTTCGTCGTGTGACTGAGGTAACCGAAGCCCCAATCCCAACAAATCCCGTACCCTTAAATTTCAAATAACACAAGTAATGCACTTGTAGTAACTTGGTAGAGCGAGTTTCTATGGGCGACGCCGACTACTTACCATCAGATAATCCTTCTGCTCGTTTGCCGACCAATGCCTTAGAGAACAGTTATTTAAATGAAGAGTAGAGAGAGTAAGGAGAGCCTTGCGAAAGGGATTCCATAGCCTCATAGCGTGTAGCGTAAACAATACTTGTGGTTGTTGGATGTCCAAAACTTCCCCCCAAGCTGGTGACTTAATGAAAAATGTCTAACCCCCAACAGATTGGCAACATACTTGTGGTGTTGAATAAGACCTTACCATCAGGTGATCCGTCGTTACTTCTGGTGTTGAATAAGACCTTACCATCAGGTGTACCGTCGTTACTTGACCTTTATCACATAAAAAGTTTTGAAGAATAGAGTATGACCTCATCCCAGACCGCGACCTCGGCCCAGAGCAGAAGAAGGGACGGGCGGGTTTTTAGTCAGTAAGAGTCTGACATTCCCTCCCGCCCGACCCTGGGCGGGAGAAGTCATTTGATGATTTTCCCCTCACAAAACTCCTTCTCCTTCCCAATGCCTTCCTAATCCTTAAATATTCGAAACCCTATTCCCAAAAAGGCAGGCAACACACTTGTAACTTAGGTGTCCATGGGCGATGCCGATTGCTTACCATCAGGTAATCCGTCTACTCGTTTGCCGACCTATGCTATAGAAAAATGACAATTTAACTAGAAGCTCCGTTCATAACCGCTTCCATTATTTTTAGACCATTGTATACAGGTGCAAGACTGATTACTTCGTGGCGTTCAGTACGCACCTCACTAATTAACGGAGTCACACCGACGACAATGAGAAGGGGGTTATAATAAGTATACATGACGCTACTGAGAAATTATGATGAAAAAAAAACTTTCATTCACAATACGTGAGACATGTTTATAAAGAACTGATTGTTAGGGGAAAATCATCAACTAACTTCTCCCGCCCAGGGTAAAGCGAGAGAGAGTGTCAGACTCTTACTTACTAAAAACCCCACCATTCCTTCTCTTGTTTTGGGCCGAGGCCGCGGTGCCACATTGAGCTGAACCCGCAACCCCGGCTGAACATCAGCGCTGTGGGGCCTCGTCTGTAGGGTTGGTGGTCTATTGGCTCTTTGAGGCACGCGCGGAACGCTACGCGCCGTACGCTCGGATCTGATTCTGGTCGTGCGGTGGCTACCCTTACTCGCCATCTGCAACCCTACAAATGGTAAACCAAGACTATGATTAGAAGTATTAAAATAGTCTTTATTTACAGATTCACTTTGATCATTGAAAAAGTGACACTAAATCAGTCCGATGTGATACTTGGTGTTTTTTTTTATGAGGTAGGTTGGCAGACTAGCGTACGAGTTACCCGCAACAGCAGAAGAGTTTATTTATTCATATTGCACAATGTACATATAATGTCATGTATAACATACAGCCAGTACAGTACATTACCCTGTTAGGGCGCAGCAATTTAACTTATAACTAGATAATAATACATGTTATATTTTTTATTACATTAGTTATCACTTCAATATCACAAACACTTTTATGCATTATTATAAAAAGTAGTTCACATTAACTCACTACGTAATTAAAGTTAGCTAAAAATTATTACTACTTCTTAAAGCTGTAACTGTTACCTATACATATAATAACTATTCAATTCTATAGTGTTACCCATATAATAACTATTACCTATATAATAACCATTTTATATTTATAATTTTACACATGAAAACACAAAATCCTTGGACGAAATCAAATATTAGAAAACAAAGGGTAATAAAATTAAGTGAAAAGCAAAGAACATTAATATCATATAAAATAAATAAATAATTATTAGGTACAAGTTTAAAATAAATTCATCGTAAAACTTAAATTACAATCGAGGAACAATTTTGCAATTATAACTACAATTCTTATCTTCAAGGTACTCCTGAATACTATAATAAGATTTTTTAAGTAGTAAGGACTTTATTCTAGATTGAAATATTTGAGTTACAAGTGAGTTGCCGACTTTTTGGGGATTTGGGGATTGGGGAGGGAAAGGATTGGGCCTCCGGTAACCTTACCCACATCGCGAAACACAACGCTGTATTACTTGTTTCACGCCGGTTTTCTGTGAGGCCGTGGTATCACTCCGGTCGAGCCGACTCATTTGTGCCAAAGCATGACATGGTACATTTTGAAAGTATTTTAGAAATAAATGAAAAAAATTACTAGAAATCTTTAGGTATATTTACGTGCCTAACGGGCCAACTTTCTGAATACTTTAGCCGGAAGCCTTGCACTGAAATATGTTCATTCTATAGGTAGGTACTCAAGCCTCATGTGAACGTGATCTAAACAATATTACCATCATTAATATCTAAATTAACTTAATAACACACAAGATTTAAAAACTTAAAAACTTTGATGGAGTCGCTGGCACAGCTGCCTACACTTTTCTGCCGGAAGTCACCATTCCACGCGGATGAATTAGCGGGAAAAAGCTAAATGCAATAATATTGTATCTGCCTTATATATTATATAAGGCATTCGATACCTGACAAAAAAGGTTTCAAAATTAACCGAAATCTTAATCCCCAAAAGGCTTTAAACGCAGTTGTAACTGCTCTAATGTTGCTATTTAAGGTGTCCATGGTCGACGTCGATTACTTACCATCAGGTAATCCGTATGCTCGTTTGCCGACATATCACATAAAAAAGTGATGACGGAGGATAAAAGAGAATATAGACTTCGAAAAGACACGTCTCTTCTCACATTTTAGTCTGTCCTGGCTGCTTTGCAATTAAATAATAATGCAAGAGAATTCATTCTTATGAAAAACTAAAAAAACATACATAAAATGGATTCTGAGGTGTCAATTGGTAACTATTATGTTTTGTGTTTTTTTGTTACTTACCTGAATTGTATGTATGAACAGGTTTTTAAAATAATATGTTAAACTAAACTAGATCAATGTGCATAAAACCTCGCACGTAATAGCCGTAATATTCAGAAAAATAATGAAAAAAAAGTATTTAAAACTTGTTGGCAACATTAATTTACAAACCCCATTTCGAAATACAAACAAGGCACGAAAGAATGTTACCTATTCAAATTCAACAAATGAAATATTACGTAAATTAATTCCTTTGTACGTTTGTCTGTGAGGTGGGCGCGGGTACTTATTTAAACCGTTTTCCCGGGACCGGACTTTTCATTGGATCCCCGGTCCCCACTCCACCGTGGCTTCTATAAAATTATATGGAAACAAACAATTTGTACACGCCACACATAGAACTCAAAGTTTTTTCTGTTTTTTCTGAATTTTATTACAATTATTGTAATATTGTTGGTGATGATGTTGTGATACCTACCCAGTGATTGGAGTACATATACGGTTCTCAGGTTAGTTAAATATGAATACTGATAGATTTTTGAAAACTGAAATTCAGGGCAGTACTATAGATCATACCGAACCGCTCAATAATACACAAAACATAAGAAAAAATGTCTTTAATCAGATGGATCACTAAACATAACATTTCAGTTCGAAAAAAAATACCCTTCTTTTTTCCGAAGGAATAGGACAATAGTCCGTATCTATTTGTCTATTCATAAATAAGGACTTTATATCTGATCCTAGATATTCAAGCACCTCATTATCCCACCAATATGTAACAACGGCATCAAAAGTTACACCTTTATTAGAGTCCATAAAGTCCATTTTTATTTTTCTACTAAATCACTCCAACTATAATAAATAAGGACCTTCTATCTCATCCTAACACCTGAAAAGCCCGCCATAACTGACTAACAACATCTAAAGTTACACCTTTATGAAATATTCATTCATAATATAAACGTAGGTACCGACATAACGTTGAGTATCGCTGCCGTTCGAATGCGCACTCTGTAAAAATTACAAAATGAAAATTGCGGCCCGGCGCCGTTGAATACATTAATATCGAATATTGAATACATTATATAAAAATATTGAATGAGTACAAACGTTGAAACGAGAACCGAATGGAAATCAGCAAAAAATCCCGAGAGCTTTCATTTGAAACGCGATATTCGAATTTTACATTAATATCATAGGTAGGTACTTGTGTCTATTAATAAATCCATTCTTTTGCTTTTTCATAAAATTTTCGGCTTTAGTAACGAGCCATTTTGTTAAGTACCTACATCAGGCCTAGTGTTTTGGTAATGTTTTATTTGTTATTTGCATACTATTCTTTATAACGTCCGTTGTTCATTATATACCTGATTAGAATTATAGTTTTTACACATGTTTCAATCTCTAAGGTTAGGCTTATTGGGCAAAAAAGAAGATTGTAAACTAACGCTGTTACCATTATTTTTTTATTTTTAACTCAGAAATTTTTTACTCAGGGGTCTCATGGGTGGTGGCACGGGCACTGGATCGCTCAATTCCCTATAATATGGTTGAGTTGGGCGGTACTGGTGTGCGTGTCATGTTCGTGAACGGGCGCCGCCTATTGGTACTTGTCATCTCCAGGCTGTCTAAATATGCTATCATTGAGGTTAACTTCTTTTTCGTAATTTTTGCCTAAACATTAGTGTTACACTGTTCTCACATATCAGAACCGACTAAATGATGTAACAAAGAAATTAATTGTAACACTGATGGAAAAAGAGTACCCATGGAATTTCTTGCTCGTTCTTCTCCATAGGATTCTACACTTTGGAACGAGCAAATAGCTTCACTAGAGGACAGACGGACAGACTGACACACTTAATTTTAAAGCTCTTGAAATACTCTTTTCCTTTTTTTGCTTGACGTTCAAAGTGCCTATAGTGGTCTAATTGAAATAAATGATTTTGACTTTGAATTTAATGTTAGCAAAAAGATAGTCCTAATTTGACAGACACTCTGGGTTCTGGTAAAATATTAACCTCGTAGCTCGTAGCGTGTAGTTATTAGCGCGCAGCAGCGATTTTTATCACTTGCTATCTTGTCAGGGGTTGTAGGTATCAAGTCAGTACCTGGCGAATTTTTGCCATTTGTTTCTACGATTCAAAGCAAAATTTTCCACACCTATGCGATTAAAAGCTGGAAAACGCTGCTACGCGCTACACGCTACGAACTACGCGCTACGTGCTACAACTGTAGTACTTCGCCATTACATAGTAATTTAGGGCCTACAGATCTATATCTGATCATTATCATATATGCTAGGCCTTAGATTATAAATAAATAAAAAGACAGACAGGTTCATAACTTGGTTCTGTTATACGAGATCTGCACGTCGATTCTATAAAATTTGTTTGATTGTGAATCTTGTTCGAGTCCGAAGTAAGCGTCGAAGTGACGGGGAACTAAAATTTTAGAATGCCACTTTTAACGTCATCTCATACTTTATCTATCAAAATGTTGCTGTCAATTTAGTTCAACTCGCAAGTGTAGCGCTAGTGTACTACTACTCACGGCGGATTCAGATTCGAAGTTTAGAATGAAGTCTTACAGAATCACACTACTGATTATTTTTTGAAAGTGAGAGCGTGTGAGCGATAAGGATTAGACTATACGGTATCGTCTCGGTCAAATTAAATTAAACTATTTAGTCTGGAAGGTAATTTGACGTACGAGTATTTTTCGACATGTCATAACAAGATATATCGTTTAAAAATCAACTTAATCGAGCTGAATCTTGTGAGAATGCATGAATATGAAACGAATATCCTTACGGAGACTTACAAAACAGATCTGAATAAAATTTATTCATAAACAAAAAATAACGTGTATAATGAATGAATGAACGATATGTTATTAATATGATGACGCGTATATGTTATTTTACGTCGATAACATGGACAAAGTCATTTGTTAATATAATTAATAATTACATATTAGACCATCATTCCAGTGACTCCATTGTTGTATTGCATCTGTGCACGATCGGATGTAATCAACTTTGGCCGCGAATGTACCTACATCGTTTTGTAGGTAGGTACCGTGGTACAGTCGGCGGCAGTAATAGCGACCACGCCCAACTCCCGACAATGCGCCGAGCAATCAATTTGCGTATTCAATCATTTCTCATACACTTGATTGAAATACGAAAACCCTTAATTGAGATCTGCTGTGCCCGTATCAAAATATGGATCTGTTTGTTCGTCTGTTTTCTGTTTTGTTATGAAATTGGAGTGTTATTTGTTCTGGCATGAACATTTTTCGTTTGTTATTTAATGATTCTATAAAAGTATTTTGCGTACGTAATATTAAACACTAAATTGAATTCACTTCTCGTAATTCTGTTAGATTAAAAATAATATCTTGAAATTTCTTGTTTTTTTTAGTGATCATACGTTTTTTTGTCATTTCTATTGTAAGTTATAATCAATGCCATATCACCTATCTATAACATCTTCAACGGTAAGTCATGAATCAACCTAACCTTATTTTCCTTAAAAAATCATTAATTTACGCCCAAGTCATCAATCAAAAATTAATCATCTTAATAATATTGAACACGAACAAACAACAAAGCATAGTAATCTGTACTCACGGCTTAATCAATCAGATAACTGCACTCAACAAGTCATAAAAGCGATGGAATTAAAACGAATTCAGAGATGTGATTAAAAATAACACACCGCCCCTATAATAGGCCGATTACATGAGCGGGTTCCGTACAGCGGGAAAGAGTGCAATCACATTAGCGGGTGAACCCTAAAATTTTAATCTGCGCCACAATGCCGGCAATCGCTGATTGCAACCAGCGCGCATATGCATAGTCTTTGGGGATCGCTTAGCGTACACTGCGGGAACGAATTATGTGCACAATGCTACCGTTTTTAGACACATACACCACTCGCTGAATGTCAATTGTTTTTGAAACTAAAAAACTTTTATGCTTAACGTTGCATATTAGATATGTAACTATAGTACTAAAAAAGTTGTTACTTAATCATAATAATATCTACGAGTGATTTGTCGAAATGTCATATTTCTTTTCAAAACAACAACGAAAAATGCTATATATTTTCAAATAAACTTGACATGCGAAAGAAAACAATATTTAATTCATGGCGAATTTTTTGACGTTTGTCAAATATCTTTTAAGTCTCGGTTATGCACAATTTTATTTGTCCCCAAGTGTACTCACGCGACCGGCAAGGGACGAATTGTTTTCATATTAATAGCATGTCGAGAGGTGTACCAACAATGGGCCAACCCTTGGCCAAACATGTTGTCTATAACCATTTAATTACTTGCAAAACTTTGTGCAAATGTGTTCGTAGTGAAAGATTAATGTGCCATAAATAAAGACTATACAGAGATTATGATTTGTTTATAGGTTTATTAATCGTAGTTTATCCTACCTTACCTCTTGTTTTTCATGTGATGGGTCGACAAACGAGCAGGCAGATTACCTGATGGTAAGTAATCGACGCCGCCCATGGACACCCGTAATAAAAGAGGGTTTACGAGTGCATTCTTGGCCTTTTTGGGATTAGGATTTCAGAGATTTATGGATTGGTGTGCGATAGGGGGATGGCACAGAACGGCTTCTCAAGTATGCCATAGCATGGGTAACACAAGACTAGTTAAAAAAGCATCAATTCTTTTATTGCACATCAATTGTCAAATAGGACAGTTTACGGTAAAGTAATAACTACTTTAATACCCAAAAAGAGAGTTCAAACTCATTTGGACTAAAATGAACTACAATTATTAGGCGTATTCTAATTAAGACACAGGCCAAATTAATCAGGCAACTGTAATGAGCAACATCAACTCAAAGGCGTTATTCGCAAACTGATTTACGTGTGTGCGTAGTTACGTAGGTAGGCGCAGGTACAGTCAGGTGCGGGTGTCGAGGTAGTTTTGTTACCCCCCTTCCTCCTACCTTCACCCCCGCCACTAGCTGCACTACAGACTAGAGAACTGTTTCGTCGCGTCAGAAAATTAATTCCTCTACATAATCAGGATTTCCGTCGCTCGCGCCGCCCCACGCCGCCGCCGCGTAGCTTCACTTCGGAAATATTATTGAAAATATCGACGCTGACTGTACACTTGTGGTTCGGAAGTAATTTAGTTTTGTTGTGTTACTGTGGTTGTATTTGTTGCGACGTTTATCTGTTTTTGTTTAATAAGAACACGTAGGATAGTTTTGATACAGTCCTACATATTCTGTTCTGTTGTGTTGCATAATGATTTTAATTAAGGAATCAATGATTTGAAGCACCTTATTGAACATTGTTGATGATTAGCTACACTTTAGATTTTTTTGTATATCTTTTTTTTTAGGTAATTGGTCGGCAAACGAGCAGACGGATTACCTGCAGGTAAGCAATCAGCGCCGCCCATGGACACCCGCAACGGAGGAGTTACGAGTGCGTTGCCGACCTTTTAGGGATTAGGGATTTGGAGATTTAGGGATTGAGGAGGGATTGGGGGCGGGGAAGGATTGGGCCTCCGGTAACCTCACTCACACGGTATCTTATCTTCGTAAGGATATAAAAAGTCTACAAAAATGTTATTTTCTGTTCTGTGGTTATAATCATACAGCGTGAAACTTGAGTAAAATTTTGTTACTTATTATTAGAACAGACTGATTTCAGTTGCTTAAATGTAAAAAAAAAACAATGTAAAATATTTACACATCACTCCACATAACATTTAACAAACTAACTAAATGACTTTTTATCAAACTAATATCGTCAGTTTCAACGTGAATCGAACCTGAAACAGTAGTCCAGGTGAGTCTCAAAGCCGTAGTGACAGATGTTTTACTAAAGACAAAAAGGCTGAACGTCATAATTAAAAAAATCTCGTGCCTGCAAAGAAAGAGGGGTAGTGGCGTGAAAGCAAGACGGATGGGGTGCCACAGAAGGGCTCGCAAAGACAATGTCGCGCTTTGGACGCGAAGCTTAATCATAAATATATCAACTGGAGACACCGTTAGGGTCTGAACACATGATAGGCGTCGGATTTTTGTAATAAATTAGAACATTATATGTATTTAGATATCATTGAAAACTAGGGAAGGTCTTTAAATAACCTACATAGATCATTCATTTGGTTAAGTAGGTACTTACGTATAATAATAATCGACAAATTCGGAAATTATAAAATACAACAAAGTTCTACTCTTTATAGTATTAGTGTAGACGAAAACTGTGCGTGTATGAAAACAAGGACTGGTAGTATTTCCTTGTTGTTGTAGATTTTCATTTATTTTAGTCACTCTAGATTTAGCCAGGGTAGCGGGTCAAGCGCCATAAGGAACTGTGGCCTCGGCCTGGAGCTGTAGAACGAACGGGGAGGTTTTGAGTTTGAGTCAGTAAGAGTCTGACACTCCCTCTCGCCGAACCTTGCAAAAGAAATTTGACGATTTTCCTTCCACAAAAAAGGTTATATTAGTTACTAGCTACTCTCGCGCGGTTTCACCCGCTGCTCCTGCTGCCGCTGCCGTAGCGTGATGTTTTATAGCCTAAAGCACTCGGAAATATTGTAGCTATCTATCAGTGAATGACTTTTGGCAATCCGATGAGCGGTGCCAAAGATTACCCCCTACATACAAACTTACAAACATACACACTAACAAATTTTACCTCTTTATAATATTAGTATAGATATTTTATATGTTCTGTAAATAGACAGCACTGGAGCATCTTCGCAACGAGCAGAGAATGCACATCTTACGGATGGGGTCCCCTAGGGCGGATTTCCAGCCGGGTAGCGTGTGCAAGCGCAGTACCGGGGCTTGGCTCGGCCTGACCGGAAAATGGATGAAGGTGGATTTTAGTCAGTAGGTAACAGTCTGACTCTAATTCTCGAGGATCGGAGGAGCTGCACTAAACAAAGACAGCAACCAATGAATTTATTGGGCTATAGATCAATAATTGTCTACGTAAAGCTCTAAGAAAATTACTAATGTCAATGATTATACAGGCTGTTAAGGGCATGAAAAAGGACAGCCAGACTAAACACGCATGCTACTCATGAATAAAAGTCCTGTTGATGTGAAACTAGTAGAGATTTTTTCTGTAAATTCACTTGTGCAAGTCTTTTTTAATACATTTTATGCAGATCACTACATATTATAAAACAAAGTCGCTTTCTCCTTCCCTATATCTCTACGTATGCTTAAATCTGTAAAACTACATTCGAATACGCAATAGAAAGAGTGTTTGACGAGGAAGGTTTATACATATCTATACTAATATTATAAAGAGGTAAAATTTGTAAGCTTGTATGTAGGGGGTAATCTTTGGACCCGCTGGTCGGATTACCAAAATTCTTTCACTGATAGATAGCTACAATGTTCCCGAGTGCTATAGGCTATAAAACATCACGCTACGATTAAACGGAGCCGAGCGAGAATAGCTAGTATCCAATAAAAGTTGAATGAAGGTAAAACAAATTTTAATGAATTTTGGATTCACGATATATTTGTCTACTTAGCCGTCACAAAACAGCCAGCTTAGCTCGTAAAAAAATAATGTCCTTAAATAACATGTCACCTATTAAAAATACTGTCAACCATTTTTTAAATTTTAAGTCCATAAAAAAAATGTTACTCGCCATCCTGCAACCAGCTCTAGAACAACGAAGGAAGCATGCATGAGTGTATGAAAGTTAAAAGGGGTGTTAAGACAAAACGGATGAGCTCGGACAAAGGAAGGAAGCGACTCTCTTCTAGTATTAAACCTTTTGATATCGCCATTTGTAAGCAATGGGATACCTAACATATTTTGATTAATGAATGTTTTGTGACGTCATAGTTATGACGTGAAACGCATACGAACCCTTCCTCTCTATTGTCTTTGTACAAAGTTTTTTTGAATCAGACTTAGGGCCCGTTTTGTCGTGTTTCTGGTAGATTTTGAAAGGCCTTTGTATGAGAAAAATAATAGAAATTATAATAATAGAAATTATAATGCTTTATGCCCGTACGACGTACGGATATTCGGTAATTTGGCGTATACACTGTTTTTTTTTAACTTTGCTTGCCACCTTTTTAGTCCAGTGATCAGGTAAACTAAGCGAAAATGTCCGATTTTCTATTCTTTCCTGTTGAAGGTCGGCAGCGTGTACGCCCGCTACACCAGACGAGTTACGAGATTATTTTTTTTTTATTGAAATCAATAAATAACTTACTATTTTCAAATCAGCCGGGATTGTGGGGTAAGCGCATTAAGGTTCCTCGTCCTCTGTTCTTAGTTGGAGAAAGAACGGGGTGGATTTTAGTCAGTTAGAGTCTGAGACTCATTCTCGCCTTACCCTAGGACGCTCACAACAGAAACCATGTGCTAACTTTCCCACCTCAAAAAAGTGATTTCCAAATATTATTATCTTCTTTTTTTCTTCTTATGGCATTGATAAATTCAAATATATTTTTGACCAAGCACCCAAATTTAATCATCGTACTGACACACCTATCGATATCAGACATACTAATTCCATCGAACTAGATTTGTGAGCATTGACGACAAGCACAATGGAACACAAACACACACACACATAGCCACAATACACAACACAGCACACACACACATCGAGGGGACATTACGGTAACCGCAGTCGTCATCTAATTACCTATCTAGTTAATCAACTAGCCGGCTAGGGTTGAAAGCGCATTAATTAGACCAGTGTGCATGCTGCGCGGACGACCGTATTGTCTCGGCTCTGCTTGCAAATAAGTAAACACTGTTAGCGATGCTATAGGGTTGCCACTTACTTAGAATGTAAATAAAGAATTATGGAAGATAAAGATCTCCCATATTGGTTTTTCTTTAGTGACTTTAAACGTACATATAATATCTTGATAAAATTTCAACTACGAGTATGTTACAAAATAATAACTTTTTTACAGATCTATCTACCTTACTGCGACATTATCGATGTTGGCGATTTTAACAAAAAAAAATTTGAGTTGCAGAAATCGTTTCAGAGTACGTACCTAATTGAACAAATCTGTTTAATCTTTTGCAACTGTGTTCTACCGTCAAGCATAGACAGTAAGAATTGCAATGTGAACTGTTTATTTACGGGAATATAAAGCGAACCTTTAACATTTATGAGTATTAAGTGAAATTAAATGTACGATGTATGTACTATATCTATATTTGAAGAAAAGCTATAGATGGCATCTGACATGGATAATAATGTGACTTTTTCCGAGTTACTGTAGGTACTTTATTTGATTATTTAGATACCACTGACACACGGTGAAGGAAAACACCGTGAGGAAACTTGGACTTATAATTTCTGATTATAATTTTGAAATCACCAATCCATTATAAGCATGGGTTGTGATGTTCAAACCTTCTTTATCTAAGAGGAGGTTTTTGTTCAGCACTTATAGGCTGTTGATGATGAAAAAATAATCAATCTATTTGGTGTTGGTCACTTTTAATTTTAAATGACGTTGGTAATGGAGTGGAAATTTTACTTCGTGTTACCAGCCCTATGTGGCGTAGCTAAGGGAGCGTTCCCACTGGTTTGCGCCTCGCTTATAAATGCTATTTTAACGCGGAAAAAAAGATTAATTAACTAATTGAGCTGTCGGACCGCCCCGTGTTCTTTTTTAAGCTTTTTTCATGCGACTAATTACGATGATTGCTGGATATGACGACGGTGCGAATTGCAATGTATGAATCTCGTTTGGACGTTTATGGGTAGCTTAAAAACGAGGTTTACTTTTGTTTTAAATATTCGCTTTCTTTGATGTAATTGATAAAGGGTTGGTATTGATAACACAGAAAAAAGGTTTGTTATGTTAAGCCTTTTTTTATTTGTCATTTTATTGGTATGGTAATTATAGATATTATTCAGCCATAGCTTTATCAACACCCAATGATATTATAAGTAAAATGGTGTAGATAGGTTACCTACACAACACGGCAGGCCAAATTCGATTTTCAAAAACGCCACACTGATACACACATGAACAATTCGTATGTTTAGACGTCAAAGTGAGATGGCTAATTAAATTAACCACATTTTAATGTATCACTTGCTGAGCGCTTGTAACCTATCTACACCTTTTTACTTATAGGTAATATCATTGTCAACACCAGAATAAGTTACCAATATTAATTACACCATAAAATAACGTCATATTCATACAATAGTTACACAAAAATAGTTCACAAAAGCTAAGTTGACACAAATAGAACAGAGAGCTGAGCGGATCAAAAATAAAAACGAACATAATTAAAAAAATAATAAACACGTATCTCTGAAGGCATTGTAAATTACTGACTACGAAATACCCGCAACATGGTAAAAGACAATATGGCTCGAATGTTTAATTAGCGCATTGCAGGCTCCACGGGGAGGGGGCGAGGTAGGGGGAGTGTAAGGAGGGGGGAGCGGGAGGTGTTATTCATTAAAATGTTTGCGGAAACTCGTTTAGCGCCGCTGCGGGAGGACGCGCCACCCGCCCGCCTTGTACTAGGGCTGGCTAACATGGTAATTAGATTTGAGAAGATCCTTTAAGTAGATCCTTCAAAAAAAAAAATAATCAACATGGTTTTTCTAAGCAATTTTTCTGCCCTTGGTACAAACTATTAGCTTCCGACAGCAAATAACTGAAGGGCTGACCGACAGACAAACACTTTTATATTCAAATAGTTCATTTGCCTTTGTTTCGTGGTGGCCCAGAGCTTAGGGTGCCCGCTTCTCATGAGTGGGTTCGAAACTTAGCAAGTACCAATATGACTTTTTCTGAGTTATATGTACTTTCTATGATGACTTTAACACCACTGCCACAAGGTGCAAGAAAACATTGTGACGAAACCTAGAATTATAATTACTTATTATAAGTTCGTAATCGACAATCCATTTTGAGGAAGCGTGGTGATTAATGCTCAATCCTTGTCCGTGTGAGACACTTCTCACTTTGCTCAACAGTGAGCACTTATAGGCTGATATTTTTTTTATTTATTTAATAAGTCGGCAAACGAGCAGTCTGATTACCTAATGGTAAGCAATCAGCGCCGCCCAAGGACACCCGCATCGACGGAGTTACGAGTGCGTTGCCGACCTTTTAGGGATTAGAGTTTTGGAGAATTAGGGATTGGGGAAGGGTCGGGGAAGGGGAAGGATTGGGCCTCCGGTAACCTCACCCACACGGCGAAACACAACGCTATGGTTGTTTCACGCAGGTTTTCTGTGAGGTCGTGGTATCACTCCGGTCGAGCCGACCAATTCGTGTCGAAGCTTGGCTCTCCCGCACTTAATGTGATGTGTGTATGTTTAGCGTAGTATATTACTTTGCATAGAAAATTTTAATAAGATTGTTGACAGCCCTAGCGTTCCCGGGTGCGACGGGCGGGAACGTTCATTTACTCCTCGTAATCGTTGCTTCCGCTATCTACAACCCACTTAGTAGACTTAATTTACCTACAAACAGCTTACTAACATTCATTTATATATGTATCTTAGTAATTAACATAACATTGAAGCTATATGTCATAGAAATAAAGATAGATAAACTCTACAAGAAGAGAACTGAACACGTTCTTAAAGCCAATGTAGACCACCAGATACGTGGCCGAACAGAACTTTTTTCCAATGCCTCCTCTCGCCAAGGATATGGCGAGAAGGAGTGTCAGACTCTTACCGACTGAAAATCCTTCCGTTCCTTCTCCTGCTCAAGCCGAGGCCGCGGTACTTTATTGCGCTTGCTCCGCGAAACAGGGCTGATGTTCAGCCGGGGTTGATGGTCAAGCGCCGCTTCTTGTATGTACCGCGGCTTTGGCTTACTGGAGAAGGAATGGAACGAGGTGTATTTATCAAAAAGTTGTAGTACTTAGTCATTTGACGATTTTCCCCTCAAAAATATTTTTTTATTCATTCAATTTTATAATTAGGTAAGTGCATATTATTAAAATAAAAGAAAGATTGATTATTGCAAAGGTCTTATGTAATCTTAAAAGTTTGGATATACAATAAGAAATATATTTTTTTTCTAAGGAATAAAATAATATCTGATTAAAATAAGCTGAACTTCTATTTCCAAATACCAAACAATTTACATAATTGGTAATGTTGTTTACCGTTGTTACAATTTTCGATAATTTTACCAACTTAAATAAGCCCAGTTTCATTGTAGTAATGGACTGCCAACGAAATTGAAATTGAAAAATGCCAAGCTTGGAGATTAATGTGCAGAATTAACACTCAGGGAGACGTTGTTTAGCAGTATGTAAGTGTGGGAGAGCCAAGCTATGCTTCGACGAGGTTCCACCGGTCTCAGAGTAAACCGGCTTGAAATAGCCACAGCGTTATATTTCTTGTAAGTAGGGTTACTGGAAGCCCAATCATTTCTCTCCTAGCAAAGCACTTGCGACACCTCTTTTGGTGCGTGTATAATCCATAGGCTGCATCGATTGCTTACTATCTGGTAATCAGTCTAACCGCCGATATTCATAAAAATAAAAAAGTAGACATGATCCAGTGGATGATGATGATCATGATGAGGGATGTAGATATCTAAATTAACTTTACTCTCTGAACTTCTTATCTTTGATTTAGTTTTTATTTTTGCTTTCTTCTTAGTAGGATGATGTTAGCACAAAATTATCCTCAAAAACTAAACATAATCTTACTAATATTATAAATGTGAATTTTGATGTTTGTTACTCAATCACGCCAAAACGGCTGGACGTATCTGGGTAAAATTTTGCACGGGAATAGGATATACTCCGGAATAGGACTTAGGTTACTTTTTATCAACATACCACGCAAAGCTAGTTATATCCATTACAAAGAAGAAAGATTTGATAGTTTGTTTTGTTTGAATAATATAGGCTCCAAAACTACTTGATCTGAAAATTCTTTCAGCGTTTTAAAGCTGCACTCACTATCACCGGTGAACATTTTTTTTAAAGTGAAATCGCGGCGCCGTAGTTAGAAATAAACAATTAATTACTTATTTTACAAATAGTGAAATTCTGTTCGGGTTCGGTATCACTCCGGTGAAACCGACTAGGTTCAAACCGAAGCATGGCTCTGACACACTTTTAAAAGTAAAGGTTTGCGTAAAGTTTTTAATGGTCTTAACATTTATGTATATTACCTATATTTATTTTTTCGAACTGTTAAAAATTTACAATTGTCTATGATTTTTTCACGGATTGTTGTGTTGTGTCAAATTGTATGGGCACCTATTTATTGATGTTTACCGTAAAAAATATGTAATAACTTACTATTTTTAAATTTTTAACTCTATCACAGTTACAAGTCGAAATTATAACACAAGACTAATCCGACTACTCAAATGCAGTCCGGTTTTTAAAGGAGGTGTCACTTCTAGTTCTTTCTTCTCTCTTTCATTCTCCATCTACTTACTCATCATTCTTTGAAGATTATTCTTTAATATTACTTGGTAGAGTAAAACTTGTCATTTTATTCATTTCAAAACAATAATTGTACGTGTTCCAATTCTGTTTTCAACGATATTAAGACCTTACTCAATTCGGTCGTTTAAGATTTTTTCTTAAATGCTTGCGCCACCTTTTTAGGACATATTCAAAATAGTACTTTGTTGCTTTCCAACTTTTTTGCTCTTGATAAATGTTCGGTTACGTCTTATGGTGGCTTTACTCCTAAAGATTACCTTTATACTTAGTAAAACTTGTGATTAGTAGACCAACCAGCCATATTCTTATAATTCAGCAGCTGATTAAAAATATATTTTAATAACAAAAAGTCTGATTTTATATAAATCTTTATTTGAGCCAAATATTTTTAGCCGTAATCAGCCAACTAATCAGCGGTTTAAAAAGCCTTCGTTCACCGTATTAAATATCTCATTAACGGGTCCGCGGCAAAGGTGATAGCACTTATACTCCATTTATATTTACAGATATGCTATAACTTAATCTACACCTATTAAATACAACCCCCATTGCGCCCTCCCATTGGTTCGAATTTTCAACCCCTGCGTAAATCCGCCAATCGCGTGCGACCATTCTGTAGTGAGGGGGTGGAGTCAGGGTGGTTTTCATGACGAGATTCTCGCGAAATCAAACAGTAGTGTTCGGGAGATCTCGGATGAGACTTCTTTGACTCATCCCAAGTTTTGTGTGGTCGGTAGAAGACGAGAACTTTGAAACTTTATGTTTGTGCAAATATTGTATTAAAATTCAGAATAATACTTCTGTATTAGTTATAAGGGATATTATAATGAAAACTCGAACGTGGTAAGCTGTTAAATAGAACTATTTTGGGCATAAAATATGGGAAGGTGTTCCAAAAAACAAACCAGTGCTTACGCCGCTTCAGTAACTGTAGCACAAGTCTTTATTCAGACATTGGAGAAGAAATAACCTTTTTAAGTAACGAAGAAACTCAAACAAGAAGAACGATTTGAAAAACAAGCAAGCAAGAATCAAGAAATCACGTCAAACATGGCTGGTCCGTACCTTTCTCCCCTACCGGGGGATTTACTAACAGAGTACATGTTTGGAAGACGTCGTCAGCGACGGAACCGAACGACCTTCACACCGCAGCAGCTCAGTGAACTGGAGTCTCTCTTTCAGAAGACACATTACCCAGATGTTTTCTTGAGAGAGGAGGTGGCGCTGAGGATCAGTCTTTCAGAAGCTAGAGTTCAAGTAGGTTCTTAATAGCTTTTATTTTTACTACAGAATGTTGTCTGGGATATTTTGGAACCGATATAAAGATCAAACTATTAAAAAAAGAGTTGAGATGTTTTTAAAAGGCTGACATCACATTAAAAACTTATTTTGTTGCGGTTGTGCATTATACATGGGTAGCAATGATGACTTACCATCAGGTGGTCTTTTTCTGGTTAAAGATATTGCGGTATAATGTGTTGCTGATCTTTTGGGGATTAGGGTTTCGTACGATTGGGGGAAGGACAGAGATTAAGTCTCCGGTAATCTCACTCACACGGCGAAACACAACGCTGTAGGTTTCAAAATACTTATTTCTGATCTCAGAAAAAGTTTGTCGGTGATTTTCCTGACAAAAAAATTGGCCATCTATTTTGTGTATTTGGATTGAAGTAATTTTATACCGGGGATAAGGAAAAGTTTAAGTTTAAATTTTAAATTTTTGATTAACGCTTTAATTCCCACAAATATTATTCACGGCACAACCAAATAATAGGCAATACACTGCTTCATGGTAGACACGCACCAAGCGCTTCGCCTCAACATTTATCATCAGAACCGCTAAGAAGAGGAATTCTGTGCCAGAGTCTGCGTTCCTCAAAGGCAAAGGCGTATTCAAGGCTCGAATAAATAGCTTGCTGCCGCAGGCGTGCTCAAGCCCATCATCATCATCAGCCTATAAGTGCCCACTGCTGAGCAAAGGCCTCTTCTCATACGGAGAAGGTTAGAGCATTAATCACCACGCTTGCTCATTGCGGGTTGGCGATTTCAAACTTATAATTAGAAATTATAAGTCCAGGTTTCCGTTTTCCAGGCTCAAGCCAATTGGTGTCCAAAAAATGGATATACTATAGACCTCATAATTATTGCATGGCGTTTAAAAATGTTACATCAAATTGCATTGATCAAAATCAGCCGCAAACTTTTGCAGAATTTGTAAAAATGGATGTGTTCTTTCCTTTTTTATGTAAAAACTTCTGAAGGAATCTAATGAGATTTGGCATATAAATATATTACAACCAACAGTAACATATAGGCTTTATATATTTATAATTTGTGCGTGTAAGGCTGGCTAGTAGAAGCTAGTGATACCAAATAATCATGGAATTTACGATTACGATAGATAGATTTTTTAGTTTTTATTTTAATGAAAAGAAATCAGCTAATTCCAACCTTACTGGTTGAAAATTACCGCACCTTATTTTAAATTGCATTCATCATTCATTATGCATTTTTACGATATTTAGAGCTTGTTCCTCCACCTTTATATGTACAGGTAATGTGGCAGATAAGCGGCTTCACATAAATTACGGCCTATATTCAATTAATAAATGAAAATCATCTGGTATTCAGTGGCTGTCCAAAGATAGCGAAACAGGTCAACATAATTGTGATTATTAAGAAAGCAAATTGTAGATTATTTTAAATTACATCAAAATTTATTCGAGTGATAAAGTAATAAGTATTCCTTACATGTGTAAAAGGCGCACGGACCTTTTTCTTTAATCTTTTTTTATGTTCTAAGTATATTCTTTGGTGCTTTTGTCAGAGATTTGTGATAGGCGTTTTCTGTGACATTACGACATGCTGGACAATGCGAGTTTACTAATTGAAAGGATTTTGAGTTTGCCATCATCATCGCGCTTGATAAACCGGTGGCAGATCGCAGTTTAGAAGGCACACACAGACATACCTGGTGCCTATTAAATATGTATAAAACAGACTGACTGCACGGATGGCGCGGTGGCTGGGCAACTGGCTGCCGTGCGACGTGTCGCGGTTTCGATGCCCGCACAGAACAACACTTCGTGTGATCCACAAATTGTTGTTTCGGGTCTTGGTGTCATGTGTATGTTTTTAAACGCACCCACAACACAGGAGAAAATCCTAGTGCGGGGCAAAGTTTTTTAAAAATAAAAAAGTCCTGTTAATTAGAACATCAAGGGTCTCCAAAAATATTATCGTTTGACATCGAGAGTTTGATTTCTCAAAAATCTGAAATTGTATTTGCCTCAAAAGGTAACCTTGCAACTTCTTCAATATTTTTGTCTCTTTCTCTCTACAACTTTGAATGTGGAATATTCAAAGCCGATTAGATTTAATTTAAGAATCGTTCTCATATGTAACGCGAGCTATTTCTATCAAAATAAAAGGCATTTTTAAGGAACACGTTTTCGAATGTTTAATTACAGTGGTTTGAATTGAATTGTCACAGATTGTTAATCGACGATAGTCGAATATGTACCTCACTTGGCACGCGAGATGACTAGGAGTCGTAACAAATATACTTATTAGGTATTATTATGTACTTTGCCATTACTTTACCTAACGTAAGTTACATTTCATATAATATTCAGTAGGTTAGGAAGAATTATTAAATTTCATGATGTTGCGTTAATTTTGAATGGACATTTCAATAAAAATTATTTAAATAACTTTTAAATATTTTAATATTTAAGACAAATATTTGGAATGCTTAATCAATTTACAAATTAGATATTTCTTTCAAAAAGGATTTCAACATCTGGAGGTAATGATTATTATTAGGTATTGAATCGGACTTATTTTCTACATGTCGACTGTTCTTTAATAATTTTATGACAGAATTGTGAATTTTTTATTCGATTACGGTCATCAAAGTATTGATCAATTTATTTAAGTACTTACCTACTAACCTTCGTGGAGCGCAAGGGGGAAGCAAAGGATTCCAAATTCAAAATTGACAAAAGAACGCAGTGGCTGGGGTTGCCGTTTTTTTGTTCTCACTTTAAAAAAGTTTTATACTCATTTCGTTTGAATTTTCGTTTCAAATACTTATTTGAATGTATTTAATGATATGATATTCACAGTGGAAGGTTCTAGTTTTTCTATTGCCGTTTTTAATAAATAGGTTTAGGTAGGTTACTCGTGAAATGAAAAGATCGAATAGCAAGCTTGAAGAACCTATCCTTTATTATCTTTACGGTGTCATGTATACAACTTCGCTTACTTCATGTTAAACAGGTCTATAATTAATGTACAACTGTTACCGCACCTGATTATCGGTCGATTAAGCGCTCTATATGTTATACAATCCTAAATTATATAACCTAATTCACATATTTTACTACAAAAATAAAAATAGGTAGTCATGTGAAGCAAAAAAGAGCATTTTTAATCAGTTTTTTTTGTTTTTTTCAATGTTTTATTAATTAATTTTTATTTTTTCGCCAGCCCTTCCGCTTAACGACCAGAGAAAAAAGGAACACATATTATGATGTTATTTCTGACTATAATCTTCATTTGTCTTTTTTTTCAGATTGGTTCAGTAGTTTTTCTGTACCTACGTGAAAATGTCAACAAACATCCATATTTACATATTGAATGGTTTTTAACCCTTGTAACTTCTTTGATGTGGCAAGGAAAAAAATGATTTCTTGCCACAAGGTGATCCGTCTGTTCAGCTCGGAATGTAATGAATTTTGAACGTAGAACAAAAGTTGTTTATTAATGATATTGCTATGGTCCTGTCTTGTCAGGTGGTTGGCTAATTCACTTTGTGTATGATTAACCCTTTAGAGGAGTGTATTTTAATATTTCTATGATTGTATGGTGACATAATTTAGTAACTTTTTTTATTTTTTTATTTTTCAAAAATAATATTTACATGTTTTTAACTGATTCAGCATTACTTAAACCTCTCGGGTTTGTGTGTGATACTACACTATTCTATTTGGCTAACACAATTATTATAGATAAAATAAACATTGCACAATTTTATAACAAAACAATCAATCAATCAATCTTCTTTTAGTTGCTTCAATCAAATTTAAGTGTGGGAGAGCCAAGCTTCGGCACGAATGGGTCGGCTCGACCGGAGTGATACCACGGCCTCACAGAATACCGGTGTAAAACAACCCACAGCGTTGTTTCGCCGTGTGAGTGAGGTTACCGGAGGCGCAAACCCATACCCTTCCTCTATCCCTTCCCAATCCTTATATCCGCAACCCCTGTCTCCAAAAGGCCGGCAACGCACTCGTAACTCCTTTGGTGTTTGGTGTTGCGGGTGTCCATGGGCGGTGCCGATTGCTTACCATCAGGTAATACGTCTGCTCGTTTGCCGACATATACCATAAAAAATATCTTACTGAAGGGTCTGGTTGTATTATGTATGTAAATTTGTATGTTTGTAAATTCAGATTTTCTGATAAAAGACAACGTTTTTTAATAAAAATAAAACGAGGTTACTAAATTACGACGTACATTTTTGTGTCAAAAGTAGATAATAGTTATTACTCTCAAATGTGTTAAAAAAAACTTAACCAAGCTTATTATAAAATTAAATCAGTGAGAATTACGCAATTTAGTTACTTCAATACCTATTTGTGGAAACAATAATAAGTTTTGATCGACACTGGGTCGGATTAGCCTTATTATGTAAAAAAACGAAAGAAGGCTTGTTATATTACCTATATTTTTGTTTTCTTTGAATTAAATTTAAGTTTGATAGAGACTACACTGAAGCGGCTGTCCTTTTTATATTTAAGTATTCATTGGATGATTTATTGAAGGTATTTCTATAGATTTCTTTTATGTAATTAAATTCAAAAAGCATGTAGATGTATTAGTCTATACCTACCAATATTATAAAGAGGTAAATTTGTAAGTTTGTATGTAGGGGGTAATCTTCGGAACCGCTGGTTGGATTGACAAATTCTTTCACTGATAGGTAGCTACAATGTTCCTGAGTGCTATAGGCTATAAAACAAACATCACGCTACGATCAAATGGAGCTAAGCAGCGGGTGAAACCGCGCGAGAGTAGCTAGTTATCAACATCTCTATCGAATAGTCTCTTTCGCTAATTTTGTGTTTGTTGGCAGCTTTGATCAAATAAAGCACCGCTTTGTCATTATAATTGTGGATAAATTGTAAATATTATATAGGTACTTTTGTTCGTTTAATATGGCTGCCAAATTAGCAGAATCTTATGTTGGGTTCTCACGAGGACCAGAATTCGCTGATCCGGTGATTCATTAATGGCGGCTTTTGCCCGCGACTCCGTTCGCGGGGAATAGTGACATCCTGCAGATTTTTGGTATAAAAATGATCCTATGTCCTTTCTCGAGTTCCAAACTATGTCTGTACCATAGGCGCGTGTTAGGTGTGAAGAAAAGACAGACAGGCAGACAGACAGAGTTACTTTCGCATTTATAATATTAGTATAGGTAGATATAGATTTTATTAGGTAATTTATACAGTGGTGTGTCGGAAGACAAATAAATGGACTTATTTCCTTTTTTAAATTATTTATTACTGAATTATTTTGTTTAAGGTATGGTTTCAAAACCGTCGTGCGAAGTGGCGCAAGCAGGCACGCTTGCAACTGCTGCAGGATGCATGGCGGATGAGGTGCCTCGGACTAGGATCTCCACCATTACCGTTGTCAGGTAAAATTCAATATAGGTATTTTGATTTCTTTTTTCATTTTGATTTAGGTATTTCATTTAAATGTGGGAGAGCCATGCTTCGGCACGAATGGGTCGGCTCGACCGGAGTGATACCACGGCCTCACAGAAAACCGGCGTGAAACAACCACAGTGTTGTGTGTCGCCGTGTGAGTGAGGTTACCGGAAGCCCAATCCTTCCCCTTCCCAATCCCTCCCCAGTCCCTAAATCTCCAAATCCCTAATCCCTAAAAGGTCGGCAACGCACTCGTAACTCCTCCGTTGCGGGTGTCCATGGGCGATCAGCTCGCTTGCCGACCTATTACATAAAAAAAAAGGTATAGTACACCTGATCAGGACAATTTTTGGGTTCTCTGGTAGTGTAATTACGTATTTTGTCGTGGATATAATTATCTGTGTTATAAACACAGAACTATTTAATATATTGGAATATCCTCGTCTTCGTCGAATTTAGGAGATATTCTTGTCCATCGCTTTGACCGATAAATGTCTAAGTAACCAGGCCTTTCAATTATGTTTTATATACCATACCATTAGGTTACTCGCTCGTTCTCCTCCATAGAAATGTGCACTTTGGAATACTAGCTCCACTTGAGGACCTACAGAACTACTTACTAATTTTAAACATTTCGTTTGATATTAAAATGTTCCTTATATGTAGAATTGAATTGAAGTTCGACAAAATCGTCCCATAGAAACATTTTATTAAGGTCCAATTTTATTTCAGGTCACGGCAAACCGGACTCTTCACCCGAAGCTTCGGAATCACCTAACGACAAGGACTCCCCTGAACCGCCAGGAGCCAATGAGAACCGCGAGCTGAAATCTCCTCGTCAGGACCCATACCTTCACAATACGAACATGGAACAGATCCAAACAGTGAACTCTAATGTTCATGAACTCCCTCCGATGGCATACAACGAAGAGGGAAGGATGTTACAGCAACCGTTTACATTCCCACCAATGATGATACCACAGCAAATGGAACCAGAAATAGTCCCAACAGACTTGAGGGTGATGTCAAAACCAAACCCTTGTTCCTGTGGAACCGCTGTGCAGGACATGGATGAACCACAGAACTTAGCATACCGCCAACAAAGACAGGATAAAGAAAGCGACAGTGATTCGGACACCGAAATAGACCTAACCTCACATTCCAAAGATGATGATATAAGGGAATCTGAAAGGTTGGCTAATAGAATCGCTACCAGCATCTTCCGAAGTGACACAGTTCTACATGAAATGATGCCTAATGATCTCAGCTTAGCAAATAAGAATAATGATAAGGTTAGAAGTAACGTCTCAATCTAATTGGGCGGCCATTTTGATTTACGTTTTGAAATAGCAGAATGTAGTTTTGTTCTAAGAAGTATTTAAACTTGTGTTCTAGATTCGAATGTCAATCTGACGTTATTTTATGTGCTCAAGACAGTGGATCGTGTTGAATTTAGTTTTAGTTTTTAAAACGTGATCTGTTTCATATAAATTGTGATTTTGTTCTAGTCAATCCATATGCTAAGCTGTAATTTGATTTGTAGGAAATATTTAAATTAGGTAGTACTTGTATAAGTAGGTAATGTGTAATATATTGAATGACAAAATATATAGAATCGATATTGTTAACGATCTGTATTTATATGATGAAATGTTTTTTTTAATTTCTTTAAGTCTCGTTGACTCATACACGATACGTCTAACGGTTCATTATACATTGCTTGTAATGTTCACATGTTTAAGTTGATGACACATTCTGCTGCAGCAATGTACGACAAACGCGCATAGTGCAAGTGAAAGCGACTTTATCCATTACTTAAAATTCTTATTTTAAAAGGATTCGAGAAAGTACCTACGATATAAAACACCTAAACCGCTCAACTAGGATAAAGTCAAGTTTCGTTATTCAATAAATCAATGACAACCAACATAATACGGTAGTTTCCAACTAGTCAAATTCAATACTTTTATCTAAATGTCAAAAATGAACCTCCAAATTATGTGTATATTATTATAATACTATTTTCGAGCCAAATACCATACCTATTTCTTAAAAATTAACTTAAAAAATATAGAAAATTTACTGCATCGACAGATCGAAGAATAAAAGTGTATCTAGTTATTTTTCAATATTTATTATTGCATTGAAACGTCGTCGTTTTCATTTATTTTTGACCTAGGAAACTACCGAATTATATGAAATCGAAATTTGAAATCCTAAAAACCGTTACATACGCATTTCCATCTTTAATGACTGCATTTTCAATGGTAAGATAAAAGTTATCTGGGGAATAATTATGATGCTGTCCCTGTCAGAATGTTTGTAGCTATAAGACAGTGACAGCAACAATTTTATTCCTCAGATAATATTTATCTGACTATTGAAAAATCAGCCCTAAGAAGAGAATGGTTGCCTTGTCTGTTTTTCAAAAAAAAAAGAGTAACTACGGTGTTTCTAGCTAGTTTAAAAGTTATCTGGGGAATAATTATGATGCTGTCCCTGTCAGAATGTTTGTATAAGACAGTGACAGCAACAAATTTATTCCCTTAGGAATATGATTTTTCAATATTATAATAATAAAAATACAATTAGTATGATTTCTTTAAATAATACACAGATTCTGTATACAGTAGAATTTTTAATATAATATAAATTAAATTGTCATAGATCAAGTATAATAAAACTAGGTATTATGTAAATCTAATAATATGTATATTATCACAATAAATTCGGTATATTTCAGAATTTCTTCGAAGACTACAATTATTTATTTACTTAAATTCCAGTGAAGTATAATACAGTATTTCACAAATCCATTTGCCGTTTAATCTTTCAATTATCAATTATATTCCCTTGGTATAAAGAGGGAGTTTAACGCAAATAAAATCTTACAACACCAACTTATTGACTGCAGTTTCCAGCAGTCGTACTGCTTAAAGAATACAGGTCAATATGGGTTGAATAATCTGTATATAATTCATTTCAATTTCATCAATGGAGTTTGATATATACTGTAAATAACACACTGTAAATAAGATTCAAATTACTGCTAAAAGTTAAGATGGTGTCTGATACGGAACCAGATTTCTTAAATAACTTTTTTACACAGCCTTTAAAAGTTACATAGATCGTGACTTCTACTAATAACAAGTTCCATCTTATTAATAGTATCAAAGATATAATTTGTTGCTACACAATTTAACAACTTACACCCGGTTTCTGAAAGGCTTGTCAACGCTAAAATTAACTAATCTCCTGTTAAATTTCTTGTCAAGTCATCTGATTGGTTATTGATAATTCAGTCAACCAATCAGATGACTTGACAAGAGATTAAATTGATTTTAACATTGATCGGCCTTTCGGAAACCGGGGGTTAGTCATTTCAACAGACTAAAAAAGTTCAGTATGGAAAACAGGAGCGATTGTAATACAGGTCGATTATACACAATTAACATGATTTTCTAAATTTAAAATTCTTATACAAAAGGAGCTTCTTTATATATATAAAAAACGTAACTTGTATAGGATGCCCCAAAAGACGTCGTTAAAAAAGTTAAAACTTTACCGATATCCCGGATGTTTTGGCTGGTCATCGACTTTTTGGGACACCCTGTTTATAAAACTCTAACAAAGTAAGTATCACTTACACAACCAGCTCTTGTCTCCCTAACGTATGTGTAAAAAAAACCTCAGTCAGTCAGTACCTAAGGAAGAATCTCTCGACTGCCTAGACTAGCAACATCAATTGTGCAAAAAATCGTTATTCATTACTTACGACAAATCCAAATTAACTAAGCTGTAGATGGAATTGGTTACTTATAATTTAACACTTAGAACGCCATGTCAGACAATGTTGCCCGACGCTAGCGGAGGGTTAGCCTTCAACAGTTTTTGTCGGCAGTCAAATGCTTAAGAGAATTTTGTCATGTTCAAGTCTATAAAATGAGTTGGAATCTGCAAGTTAAAGTTAAAGTGGCAATGGGCAGGCCACAGCTCTCAAAGTCGCGAGCTGGAGGCGGATAAGAAAAGAAAGTGCAGATCATCGACCAGGAAGTAGACCGTTGACATCATCAGAGTCGCAAGAAGCTAATGGATTCAAGTGAATGGACAGTCTATGAATGGTTCAATTTAGTGATATTATGTATGTATATACCTACTTATACCATGTATCAGGTAAGCGCCTGTTTTAAACAAATAGCAGAAAGTTGTGAAACACTTAATGATTATAAATGTCTTAGGCTTTTCCAATAACGTTTAATGTCACCATTCACTTGCCAGGCAACCATTGTACGCATAACTTCTAATAATAATTACTTAGTAAATCTTTAATTTAGATTTCGCAAATTTTCGGCACAGATCGGCATAACGCCATAACATTCTTTAAAGTTTTAACATGGTGGGCCATCAGGCGAACATATATTTTGCTTCGTATTTAATGGATGTCACGGTGATTAAAGCTAAAAAGATCGCGAGCACCAATGGGACATTTTCCAAGTTTGAAATATGTACTTCTTTCGTCTATTTAATCGTAAAGAAATGTCGTGAAGATACTTAGAATTACTTATCTTTTATTTTTTTGGAGTATGAGGCAAACGAGCAGACAGATCACCTGATGGTAAGCGATCGGCGCCGCCCATGGACACCTGCAACACCAGAGGAGTCACAGGTGCGTTGCCGGCATTTTAAGGAGTACGCTCGTTTCTTGAAGGTTTGAAGATCGTATCGGTTCGGGATTACCGCCGCCGGAAGATGATTCCAAAGCTTTGCTGTGCGGGGCAGAAAATTACGTGAAAATCGCACAGTTGTTGACTGCCAACCATCTATGTGATGGGAATGAACATTTTTTTTGCGTGGAACGATAGCGAAAAGTTGCGGCGGGAATCAAACCGAACAATTCCTTAGAACACTCCTCGTGATAAAGGCGATAGAGAATACATAGCGAAGCTACATCCCTACGCAGTGCAAAAGAGTCCAGTCCAACCGAGACAGCAGGGTAGTCAACGATTCGAACAGCTCGTCGTTGAATGCGGTTCAGAGGGAGAAGCTGCTACTGAGGTGCCCCCGCCCAAAGATGAGAACAGTATTCCACATGGGGCCGAACCTGCGCCTGTTAAGGAGCAGGCGATGCCTCGGGGTGAAATACTGCCACGATCTATTGAGCACACCAAGTATATCAAGCTATCTACACTAGTATTATAAAGAGGAAAGATTTGATTGTTTATTTGTTTGAATTGAATTGGCTCTGGAGAATTCTTCCGGAAGACGTTTTTAAATCTTGACGGATTTGTAAAATTCCTTCACTGTTACGAATCTATACGTTATGCTAATGTTCCCGGTGGTCATAGCTAGTAATTAATAACAAAATCACTGTCAAGGTCACACTCAACAATTGGACAGTTAAGAGGCTAATATAGAGAGAGCTTAAAGATACAATTAATGAATGGTAAGACCGAATTTTTATTGAAAGATTAGTCTAAGGAAACATTTCATAAAGTAACTACGAGTAGATATAAGATATTCACTAACACCCGGTTTCCGAAAGGCCGATCAATGTTAAAATCAATTTAATCTCTTGTCAAGTCATCTGATTGGTTGACTGAATTATCAACAACCAATCAGATGACTTGACAAGAGATTTGACACCTAGTTAGTTGATTTTAACATTGATCGGGCTTTCGGAAACCGGGCATTATAGTTCTACTACAAATACAATCTGCTGATCATTGATGAATTCATTGTTTCATTGTAACAAAATGTTTAGGCCACTGTGTTTCTTCGTGTTGTATCAATCTGTCTTAATGTCTTTTTACAAGCTTTTTATGTATTTTGAAGCAGATATTTTCTACGAATTATATGTATGCTGAAATTGTTAAAACACATTTAATTTGTGTAACAATGCTAAACTTTCTCGGCTATATTGAGTCAGTTTTTGTTATTCAAATTGAAAGTAGGTGAAAATAAGATTCAAAATACAAAATCTGATTCAATGGTTTATACCTAGACTCAAGAGAAATTTTGTTTTGGAATAAGGGAATATGACTTTAAGTCTACAAAAAAGCCCATTAAACGTTTGATCGGCCAGCATGTTAAAGTACAAACTTCAATAAATTTAAATATACATAGTAGGTAATAGTAAAATAGAACACATTCTGTCTCATAATATACTTTAACCATATGTTTATTTAGAATGTCTCTTTCAGAACACACACAGATACAAATATACCTGTCTGCACATACAGAGGATCGATAATTTAATAAATAATTTTAATTTAAGTACACTTACAACTACACTATTATAATTGTATTTATATTTATAATTAAAAATTAACAATAATATAATCGATAGTTAATAATTTATATTTATAATTTAGATAGAACCCTTGTTGTAATCATATTTGGAATCGTGACTAAATTCAGCCTTGATGTAGTTATAGGCTTCTCCAATTATAAGTTCTAAAGAGTTCTTAAAGAACTTTATATTTTAATAGTCTTACTTTATAAAGTTCTTAAAGAACTTTGTTTTATAATAATAGGAATATACCTACAGCTCTAGGTGTTTTATTTTTTATCCATCGAGATCGATATACGCTCCTTACCAAAGACTTACCTATACATAATATTTGAAAATTTTCATGCTCTTAAAAACTATTAATTTCTTAGGCTAAGTTACAACTTGATGCTTTAGCTCAATAACACAGTTATTGTCACAATTTGATTCAATCTGTCAGTTACTCAAACAGAAAGTAGAGGATATTACATAAATGTTATTAGGCTTACATCCTCACATTTTTGAGGGAAATGTGACTTGAATGGCATTACGGCGCTGTAAACGCGCTGTTGCCGTTCCGTGCCTGGCCTGTACAACGTGTGGCTAACGTTAGCGCCGAAAAATGCCAGGCTAGGTTCACTGGTGTCTGAGGTAAGGGTGTGGGTCAGAAGCAGGAGATCAGAAGCACCTGGAGTCATGTTGAGAGCACCAGGCAGGTGAAATGGCGTCAGCTCGCAGGCCGCGCTTGATGAGCCGCGCCCGTTGTCTCTGCATTCGCATTTCCGCTGCGAGCACGTCGGACGTGGGATCCGACCAAAGGCGCTCCGCTACCGCCGCCGCGCGAGGCCATATGCGCGTGTCTGGAAACAAAATAATACGTCAGGAAACCACAGCTTAATATGATCATCATAAATTTATTTAAAGATTTTTTACCACAAATATAGACAGGTGTGAAGAGTTTGTTGATGCTTTTTTCTATATAAAAATGCCTCGAATAATCTTCAACGACTTCAAACTATATATAAAATATATACTTGCTTAACCTTATTTATTTCGGTAGGTGCGATCTATGTTTGTTCCTATAATATTCATAGATATTCAGAATTATCTAATCGAAATTTAAAATGGAAGAACACGTGAGACACCTACCGTCAGTCAAAATCGTAAGGTGTTGTGTATCGTAACTAAACATAACACTTCTTTCTAACCTAAATTCTATTTTTGTCTTATTTAAACCAACAGACGCGATAAGAAAACTTTGTTTAAGGTGCCTATTAATATAATTATCATGATCGATTGACTACTACTCATCCTCATCATCATCATCAGCATCAGCCTATAAGTGCCCACTGCTGAGCAAAGGCCTCTTCTCATACGGAGAAGGTTAGAGCATTGATCACCACGCTTGCTCAATGTTGGTTGGCGATTTCCGATTCCGATGTTTACCTTCATCGTATGTCAGTGGTGTCCAAATAATCATAGAAAGTACATATAACTCTGAGTCAAAATCCATTACGCTTCGGCACTAATGATCTGGCTCGACCTTTGTAATACCACTTCCTTAGGAAAAACCGGCGTGAAACAACACTAACGTTGTGTTTCGCTGTGTAAGTGAGGTTAACGGTCCAATCCTTCCTCCTTATCCTCAATCCTTAAATCCCCTGAACCCCTGTCCTTAAATCCGCCCTAATCCCACAATACGCCCAGCAAAGCACTTGTAGTACTTAACTCCTTTGGTATTACGGGTGTCCATGGCTTATATGTCGATTGCTTATCATCAGTTAATCCATGTGCTCTTCCTATGGCATGCAAAATATGAGATACACTATTGGCAATAAAGCTGCCGTTTTATTATGTCCTTTACAGATTATAGCAATCTCACTATGCGCGGTAATGATACAAGGCTTTCAATCCAATCGTTCAAAGAATAAACTTGATACATACCTAGGGCCTGTTCATCCAAATATTCGGTCCACATAGCGACCTCTCCTCCCAGCATGTTGTCATCCCTGGGCAAGACATGGGCATACATCTTCCTCCAATTGCTATACTTGGTAATGCCCCAGAAACCATGGTCTAAGTACCAAATGTCTTTAGGCACTGACACAGTTTTGTATCCCATCCCCAGCAGTTTGTGAAGCAATTGACTGTTTACTGGCTCCCACACTTCAATGATGTACCTAGAACAAATTGCAAATAAGAGTTAAAAAATAGTCGTTAGTCCTGTTAAAAAAAAATCGTAAAATATATGGGCCATCTGTATGCAACTCAAATTTTTGCCAAATACTCCTGAAGCTTGCCTTGATGGTCACAAGCGCGGCGTATTGAATTCCTTTTACTTGTCATTCACAGTAGTTGTTTTGGTAGTCAGAATTCTGAAAACATCACTTTTGAATTCACATTTTTTGCTATCAAAGTCTTCCCCGGCTCAAAATTATTCGAAGACATCCAACGATATTGCTATTTGAAAATATTTTGTTAACCTGTACCAAATTCAATAATGGCGACTTCCACCAAGTTCCGAGCAAAACGGCGTGCCAACCTTTTCTCGAAGCTACATTAAGAAGTAGTTCTTAATCTACTTTAAAGGCAAAACACTACCTTTCTTTGCTCAGATGGGTGTTGATCCATTGTGGCTGTGTGAGGTCTGAAGACCAGATCATGACGGGTTGCTTCGGTGTTTGCACTGCCTGCATGACCTCGTCCCAAGCAGCCAAGGCCTTCTCATGGAACTCCGACCATAGCTTCAGGAAACCATTCGTTGTTGGATCATAGTTCTTCATTTTCATATAATCGATGATCTCTTCCGTCTGATTCCAGCATTGAATGTAAACCTAGAAAGATATAATGTTGATTATCAATTATTTTTAATTTAATAGATTTTCAATCCTTAACTTTTGATAATACAGTTCTAAATCTCTCAAAGCGAGGTCAGCTTGATGACTGGCGTATCCCCCGTTAGGCCACTGCCTCGAATCTTGCGGGCAGCGGGGCGGCAGCGGCGGCGTCATTGTAACCGCTTCAATGATGTATAAAACTATAGATACGTTGTCCGCGCTCTAAAATGACAACATGAAATGAAGGCAATTGACAACATCGCGCTTAGTTACGCACCAACCTGCCGCGCGACGCTACGTTTGTTTTTAATTTATATCGTGTGTGTAAACCTGTGCGAAACATAAAGAAAGCATGTCGTGGTGTGTGTTCAGACGATGTACAAATTATACTCCAAAAGTTAAAGACAAAAATGTGTCATTTCATGCGTAAGTTCACCAAACAACCTATTTTTATTTAATTTTTTTCGACGCCGGCGCCCGCCATCTTATGGCGGCCGGCGCATGAAGGTATAGTCACGTGCCGTCGGCATAACTGAAGATGTATATTTATCTCCCTCTAGCAAAGGCATTCCACTATACGATGTCATATTTTCTTTCCCTTTCTTTACTCGTAGAAGTAGTTATCTAGTATTTTCGCCGTTTTTAAGCGCCGCGATGTTGGTTCATGACGTGTCTATATATAATACGTCATTGAACCGCTTAGTGTTGTGTTCATTATTGTGTCGTCGACATATTTGCTTTTATTCGCGAACGAAATGTCTGAACAATAGCGGAAACATGTGACAAACACATTTGATTCAAATTTATTCGTAACGCTCGATTTATTGTGGACGCAGGCAGTCACCGCTCGACTAAAGTACATCGCTCGCACCTCATATTCACAGTAGATTTTTGGTTGTTCAATACTATTGATTGAAAAATCAACACGTATAAGATCATCATCATCATCATTCATCGATAAGAATTATTGCAAGAATTTCATAGAGTACATTGTGTATTTTTTTAACAATATCAATAAATTATTAACAATTAAATCCAAAAAACTCACCTCATCTCCCCCTACGTGTAGTAATGCAGGGGCTGGTAAAGCATCAGCAATGTCCCGGTACAGGTCTGCCAGCACGCGGTACACTTGAGGGTTGGCAGGATTCAACTGTCCACAAGGAGGCTCCACGCAAATCCCCCGCCATGGCCATTGGTTTACGCAAACTGCGAGATGACCCAAACCATACTCCTGGAAAGTGCATCATAATAATTTTATTAAGTTCATAACAAAGTTCCTTTTTATTTGACATTTTACTACTAACAGTTCTTTCATGAGGGTAAATCATCGATTGACTTCTCTCGCCAAGGGTATGGGAGAAGAAGTGCCAGACGCTTACTGAATAAAACGCTTTTCTTCTCCTGCTCCAGGCGGTATGTTTTTGCCCTTGACCTACGACCCCGGCTAAACATCAGCCCTATAAGGCCCCACCCATTGAGGCGCACGTAGAACTCTACACACTCGGGTCTGATTCTGGTCGGGCAGCGGGCTACCCTTGCCGCTGACCGCAGACCCGCGCATGGTAGCAATTATTGACAGATAAAGTGCAGTTTTCGTTAGTAATTTTCACTAGGCCCATAGGTATCCTAGAACTAGTATCAGATAACAGGTACTATGCACTTACAGGTCCCCACTGCCAGCCGTTTCCAGCGTGTGCAGGCGAGTCGATTTCGATGACGACGCGAACACCGCGCACTTGAGCATACTGGATGAGCTCCCGAACCTCCTCGGCCGAATAAATTTCCTCCGCTGAGTAAGCTCCATATCTGTAATAATTAAAATATGTTTACATTTAGCTATGGCTTGACAGACAAGGTACAGGAAAAGTAAGTTAAGGTACACGATAACGCGTTTAAAAATAAAATAACTACATTATTGGATTGTGATTTGAATGCTATGGTTTCCAACTGGTCAAATTTAATGCTTTTATTAAAATGTTGAAACGATACTTTTCTGGCAGTTTTTGGAATGAAATCGCAACATGATATTATGACGACATAGTGTTTTGATATCAAACTAGCTAGAAAATCTAAAATTAAGTACCTACGTACCCATACTAAAAACTCAATCGAATGAGAGTATGATTATATTATTTTAATGATTGTGTTGTTGTATTGAACAATCAAAATAGATTATTTTGACCTTGGAAACTACCCAATTTACCACACAAAAGATACCATATTTATTAATTGAAATCACGTCTGAAAGAAGAAACAAACTTAAAAACACTCAATGTACATACGTCGGGTGACTACATAACAAAACTATCGCGTAAGTATTTCAAAAGAGTATTAATTACCTGGTAAACTGTGGCACTCTGGTGGACTCAAGAGGAAAACTGTGGGAGTCAGTAACGTGCCAGTGGAACACGTTCATTTTATTAGCGGCCATTCCATCAATGGTCTTCTTCAAATTTTCCATAGGTATAAAATGTCTACTACTGTCAATCAAAAGTCCTCTGTAACGATATGCGGGACGATCGCGAACTTTTGCGCCGGAGACGAGTAGGAGGCTGCATGTCTGGTCGTCGGAGAAGTCAGGTTTACTGGACGCCACCAACTGTGTAAACGTCTCCAATGCATGGCGGGCTCCGTACACTGTTTCGGCAGTTATGCGAACTGATATCTGCCCCTCTATGGAAAAAATATATCGTGTTTTTAATATTTGATCGGAGAGACTAAAAAATTCTTTATGAGGAACGCTTTGAAAACAGATGAGGTAAATAAAATCTTTTAAAAACGCAATGAATAATAAATTACCATTTAATGAGGGTGGTTTTTTTATTGAATAACAACTTTTCTGTGACATACTAAATTATTTATGAAAATTTTGAATAACTCCCGTACCTAAATTAATTGAGAAAGCTCTACAAATTACAAGATTCAAGGGGATTAATATAAGTAAGTCGTTCTTTTAAATAAATTTAGATACTACTACTTTCTAATAAGGTTGTACTTTCTAATAAGGCTGCACATTAATTTTTGCCGGGCAAGCGGGTTGATTTATAAGAAAGTATTCACAAAATATAGAAAAACTTCCAACCTTTATTATTATTCTGGACATCTAGCATGTATTCCTCGTTGGTGTCCAGGGTTAGAGACTTGTTAGCGCTCCTGACGGTCAAGTAGACGACCACAGGCGTTTCAACCATTTCAGTGACAGTGCCATCGCACTCCGCCAGCATGTTGGGACCAACCAACTTGGTCATATCCACCATGAGCGAGAGAACTGGCGCGGGAACATTTTGCAGATCGAATCTGAAAAAAAAAATAACAGAAATACTTATACTAATAGTTAGCTATATTGTTAACCGTCGAATTGAAGATCGACTTCAAAAAAGGAAGTAGATCTTCAATTCGACGGATACCTATGTGTTTTTTATTATTGCCTAAATACAGATCTAGATGCTTTGCTGTGATTAAACACAGTTACCTTATTTTGTAACTTAAATAAAACAAATTACATAGATATTTATGAATTTATGGCTTTAATAACGTATCAGGCAAGGTGCACTTAAGTGTATTTATTTATTTTTATACCAACAGCGCGCATATTATAAGCTATATACTAATACAGACACAGACTAAGTAAGCATTCCTATTACAGGTACACACAGCGTTCATATGTATATACACAACTTAATTATATAAGAGAAGATGAAAAGAAATAATCTACTAATAATATGATAAACAATGTAATGTATAAGTATAGAGGAAAGTCACAAAATATGAAATAGTATCCTAATATGCAATACCTTCATTTCTCTAAGACTATAAGTATGAAACGCAACACTCGACCATCTTCTGTTCCATTCGGTCTACTAACTATCGCACTCACACCATCGAGTCAGTTGCGCGAACACTTCACGTGTGGCAGGCGTGTTTTGTTTTGTTGTCGTGCGGAAAATTTTAAAGGTAAGTAATAAATGAGTATTACCAGCTGATATGTTTGTATACATAAGTGTTATACTATTTAGTATATCGGTATTATGTTTATTTCACCATTTTGTGATCTTTTAATTTCAAAATATTGTGACTTAAAAAAATATTTAGAAGAGTTTGAACTAGTATAAAAATCCAAATATGGACAGTCGTCGGTGTCTAATTATGGAATATTCCATAATTAGATATAGGTAATATTTCATATGATAGATACTTGCTTGCTAAAAATTATATGTAATGTTTGTTTTTAGAATGTCCGGTTCACAATCAACCAAACAAAAAACCTGGGATGAAGAAAAAATGGCACAAGCTATAAAATTCGTCCGGGAAAAGAAAATGGGGTATTTGAAAGCGGCACAGCATTTTCAAGTGCCTAGGACAACTTTATTTCGTCTCTGCCAAAAAGATGAACAGTCTCCAGAAGTGGCAGCAGCTAAGAAAATAAACTAGTCAAGACAAAGAATAAGAAGAAAACTGCGAAGAACAAACAAACAAACGAAGAAAAATAAGAATGATAGTGAAGAAGAAGACTCTGAGGAACTAGACGTTATCCAGTTTGATGAAGGTAGTGAACATGATGAGTTGATGGACCAAGTACCTCCTGACTCTGCTGATGCAGAATGTATGTTCTGTTCAAGACTTTTTTCCATGGATAAAAGTGGAGAAAGCTGGATTAAATGCTTGATGTGTGGGCTCTGGGCACATTATGATTGTGCTGGTCCAGAGTTTGATACTTGGATCTGTGACTTTTGCAAGTAATTATGTAACTTCTTTCATTTATCACAATATGTTATATTTATTTAATTGATCTCAAAGATATTTATGTCCATTTTTGTTATTGTTATGTTGATTTATGCTTATATTCCATATATGGGTACCTATTCCATATTTGGTTACTCATTTGTGATTTTGTTTTTTATGTTAGATTTTAATTTGATAACTAATATATTTGATTAAAGGCTGTTAATTACTACATATAAATGTATAACTGATTAGTAAAAACATTAAACTGTTTTAATTTTTATGAAGTTTTTTTTTATATCCCAAAAACAAAATAGTATTCCGTATTTGGTGACTTTCCATTAATGTACATAATAAAAATTTTCTATCATTAGTAGGTACTAACGAGCTTGAGTTTTTTTTGCGTTTTCTTTTTTCTGTTATATATTACTAGCTACTCTCGCGCGGTTTCAACAGCTGCTCAGCTCGATTTGATCGCTGCGTGATGTTTTACAGCCTATAGCACTCAGGAACATTGTAACTATCTATCAGTGAAAGAATTTTGGCAAACCGACCAGCGGTTCCAAAGATTACCCCCTACATACAAACTTACTTTTACCTCTTTATAATATTAGTACCTATAGATGAAAATTGTGTGTCATTAGTTAGGTACTAATGAGCTTGAGTTTTTTTTTGTTTTCTTTTTTCTATTTGGTATCATTAAATAGTCTGTATTGTCTGCTGTTTCACAGTGTAAAACATAATGATAGTTAAAATTCAACACAGGGAACAGAGCTATTGTCAGGTTTTGCAAAAAGAATTGATTTCATGCAAAAAAACATCAATTGCTGTATCATTTCCGATGATTTGCCTTTTCGTTTGTTGATTGCTGGTAGGATACCCACTTTACGAAAATGGTAATAACCATAGAAACACACAAAATTATTTATGGTTTTAACTGTACTTTAGAGGACAAAAAACCGTATAGGTACCTATTACTGTAAATTTTTATATTCAGCCATGTCACTTCAAGAGATTTCACTTGGGTATCATTTTCTATTAAGAAAAAACCCTGTAAATAAATGTGGATTAAAGAAAGATAAAAACAATTCTATCATTCTATAAACGTCCATAACTGCTCATTTGCCTACCCTCACATCTCTAATAGATTTTCGACTTTAAAACCAAATGATAAAGTTGATAGTGCCAAGTATAGAAAGGTGTATGTTTATGAGCTGTTGTCTGCTTAGCAAATTACTTGATAATAAAAACAATTTTATGTATTATCGTCAATAGCTTCTTATTTACCTTCCCTCACACCTCCAATAGATTTTCGACTTTAAAACCAATAGATAAGATTCGTATTCCCAAGTATAGAAAGGTGTATGTTGATGTGCTGTGGTCTACTTGGCAAATATTTTAATGTTCATGGTTGTCAAATATGACGCGACGTGTAGGGTCGTAGGTCAAGTCACCGTTATGGTAAAAGAAAGGTTGTTCAACCCTGTTGGAGATCAGCCATTCAACTTTACTTAGCGTTGAGATTGATTTTTAGGTACCTATTTGTATGTTTTCCTCATTGGTTGATCTTAACTGTGACTTTTTTCTTGCCCCGCCTTAAGATTTTCTCCTATGCCGTGAGTACCCATTTACAAACATACAAGTTCACATACGCATCAGGGTCTTTCAGCTGGGGTTCCGAGGTCCGCGCGGTAGATAAGGCACCAGCGGCCTCGGCCTAGAGCAGGAGAAGGAACGGGGCTGTTTTAAGAGTCCGCCATTCATTCTCGCTCCACCCACGGTCGATTAAAGTCATTTGATGATTTTCCCCTCACAAAAAAATTTCTGGGTCAGAATTTTTTCACTATCACTTATCAACTATCGAAACGACTAACTCACTTGAATTAACCAAGAAAAACTCTAGCAGTTTCAAGCCAGAATGGCACTTATTAAGTCGTTATTTGGAATAGGTACATTTTATATATAGATACCACAATAGTACTTAACTATACAAAAATCTTCCTACTGACTAAATGCTTGTTATGTATTTTAAATATACGTTGAACTTGAGATCTTTTACTCAACGACGTGTCAATATTATTTACTTACTCAAATGCTAAATAAATATTGGGAAATCTATTTGAAGAATAAAAGTTTATTGACCCCTAGTAGGTGAACCTGATTAAACTTTACATACGTCTAATGATATTTAATTTTGTATTTAAATATAACAATATTATTACAATATCATCTATATTAGGAGTCGACCTCAAAGGAGGATAATTATACTGGCATAGGTATATCATAACTTATTTGCAATTAAAATCCTTATTTAAAATGTATTAATTTAAATTATACGAATGTAAAGGTAACTAAAATTAATACAACAATATGTATAATTAGGTATTACAGAAATTAATAAAATCAATTTTAATTTATAAGAAATAAGAAAATCATTTTTTTTATATTAATTGTTTTAACAAGAAACAGTAGTTTTTAGTTGTTTAGTTGAATTGCTGCTGCCCAGTTTTGGTCAAAAGTGTAGTCCCTTAGTCTACTCTTACTCTGAAGTGTCTGCCACACCTTTCTCCACAAGAAACATTGTTTGTACCTTGTATTGTTTTTACCTTGCTCAATGTATTTTTATTTTAACTTTATTTTATTATCTTGTTCGTTTTGTGTCTTTTATGCGTCCCAGACGCGAATAAATATTTTTTCTTTCTTTCTTCTTTCTTTCAAACATAAGATGGGAGCTAATAAGAGATGTGTTATTTGACCGAAAATATCTTTAAATGCCTAATATGCACAAACGACAACGCCACGAGAATGGATGGTGACAAATGGTGGTTCACCATCAGATAATACAAATAATGGCTAATATTAGATATACATTAGGTACTAGCTTTTGTCCGCGACTCCGTTCGCGTGGAATAGTGACTTCCTGCAGATTTTTGGTATAAAATGTATCCTATGTCCTTTCTCGAGTTCCAAACTCTGTCTGTACCAAATTTAACAGAAATCGGTTCTGTAGTTTAGGCGTGAACGAAAGACAGACAGAGTTGCTTTCGCATTTATAATATTAAGTATGGAACTTTGGATATACAATAATACATTGATCTAGTATAAATAGGAAGTGCTAGCGAAAATAAATCGTATCATCTCCTGGGAGCCATCCAAGTGTTTGACAGAGTGCGTTCTATAATTAACTAGGAACCACTTCTAGATGATATTTACTCAACGGATCTAAATAAAATGTTGCGTCTATGGCTATATAAACGGTTTATATTTTCACACTAAGTTATATCCTGTGTATGCCATTGAGCCAGTAGGTGTAGACGTTAATGGTTATAAAGCAGTCTTTATTTCAATATTTAAGAGAGAATTTGGGCTGATTGATATCTTTTAACAATATGTACTTATAAGGTTGGTTATACAAAAGATTGATACAAGATTATACAAAAGGGTGGGTATCTAATTTACTTCTAAAGTTTATTATATTGCAAAATTTTGATGTTTTATCTTCATGAGTTTCGTACACAATAAACCTTTTCAGCAGACACAGAAAGTGAAAATAACCGTTCCATTTCAGATAGTGT